ATATATATATATATATAGGCCCCCATAACAGCTTTTAGCCCATATCCCTACAAACAATGACGACATCGTCTTTTATATCGTCTTTCGTATCGTTATTTTTTTTAAACTATTTCACACTAAATTCACATCGCAGCATCTTTTTTGGTCGTAATTGTGCATTGCATTAATACATAATTATGATTTTTAATTATATTTAATCAAAACATAGCTAAAAAGAACTGCCCTAAGTTTACAACTCGTAGGACGACAGTCTTGTCGATAGAGAAACCTATATCGTTGACGAGATAAGTCCCGATATCGACAAAACAGTCGTCAAAACGACAAACATAACGATATCGTCTTTGACATCGTTTTTCGTACCGATATTTTTTTAAACTATTTTATACTAAATTCAAGTCGCAGCATGTTCCTTGGTCCTAATTTTGCAGTGCATTATGATTTTTATTTATATTTTTATATTTAATAAAAACAAAGCTCTAAAATAGCTTCCCAAATTTGACGTTCTTTCTATATCGACAAAAGGGTCGTCATGACGACAAACAATGACGATATGGTCTTTGACATCGTACGATATCGTCTTGCGTATCGATATTTTGTTTTAACTATATATATATATATATATATATATAGGTATACCTCTAGGTCCCCAACCCTATTCCTTTACTCAACGGTTTTACACTAAATTTATGTCGCTTATAGTGCAACGCTGTCATTGCATTGCAAATAAATACTGATATTAAATATAGAAAATAGTAAGAAGACAAACTCATAGAAAAAAGTATTATTTTATTATATATTTTTTGTAGCTGGTGTTGTAGGAAATAAATTTAAATATACCGCCGACGTGATGTCGGTAATGTAGGTATCATTAACAGATAGTAATTAATAACATGGCGAAGCTGAGTTATTGTGGCTTGGGCTGGTCTATTTGTGTCTGTTTAGAGCTGTGTTTATCTAATCTATGGATGTGGAGCTGTATTTAATACTTCTAAATTAAAACGTAAGTAGACAGATTGTTTTATTATACCTAGTTCGTATTTGTTCGTATTGTATACCTAGTAGGTATTACCTACCTAAATGATGGACAGGAATTCAACCTAAATGAAGAAGTGGAAACCAACCTAAATGAAGAACAGGAAACCAACATAAATGAAGGACAGGAAACCAACCTAAATGAAGGACAGGAAACCAACCTAAGTGAAGGACAGGAAGCCTTCCTAAATGAAGAACAGGAAACCAACCTAAATAAAGGACAGGAAACCGACCTAAATAACCCTGTAACTATATATGATATTTCAGACTCTTTAACTTTAAATGATAATGATAGTGGCAATTGCAGAACTTTTTACATAATTTAAATATTAATATTTGAAAAATGTTAAAACTTCTATACAATTTAAATTTAATCACTGATTTTAGAAACACCTAAAGTCAATTTACTCGAGATATTCTTCAAAAAAATAATTATTTTTATATAGACTTTAAAATCATTCATTTCTTTACTAGGGTGCTAATTTCACAAATAAATGATTGGTAAGTTTATATAAAAATAATTAAGCAATTTAATTAGTTTTCTTCATTTGTGACCTAGGGTCTTTCCATAAAGTATAGGTGGCCAGTTATTTAGCAGTAATTAAAAGAATCAGTTAAATGTTGAATTTATTTGACCCATTATACCACCTGTAAACAGGAAGTTTAAGTGGGTCAAGTTTACTTATCATCAGAAAGGAATCAGTAGCGGGGTCAAAATACTTCAATAATTTTTATATTTTTTTTATTCAAAAATATTAGCTCTAATGCAAAAGTAATAGGGGAATAACTTGCTTACTTAAGAGTGTACTATCACAACTTATTTGGTGACACTGTATTTTGTTTTAAAAGTTTATTTTATTTTTTAAGTTTATTTTAAAAATGTTATAAATTTATTATTGTAATAACAATTCCTTGCCATTGTGGTTTTTGTTTGTAAATGTCATAAATAAAAAAAGGCTTTTTTAATTGCATATTTTTTATTTAAAATTTTATCACCTCTAGATTTGTTCGCGATATCGTATGTAGATTCGTTTACGATATCGCGTGTCGATTCGTTTACGATATCGCGTTTCGATTCGTTTACGATATCGGCGGACATCGTTTAACGATATCGCGTTTCGACTCGTTCGCGATATCGACAAGCATATCGGCATCGACGTTAGTTGGCGATATCGCGTTTTGACTCTTTCACGATATCGAAATACATATCGACATCAACGTCATTTGACGATATCGTGACGATAAGAATGTAGAATCTAAAAGTGTCGGATTACGAGTCCTCGGAATTCTTATCGTTTTTTGTATCGTTATTGTTTGTAGGGATGTAGGGAACTTACCCAGATACACTGTTTATACATAACTTATAATTTATTTACTATTTTATGAAAATTCATTACGAAAATTTGGGGTTTAAACCCGAAAATTTTATATCAGTAGTTTTGAAATTTAAACTAAAAATAGAGGTGGATTTCTTTATTTTGAAATGTCATCAATACAATACCAAATTCAATGAACCCAATTAATCAATTAATTAATGTAATAATGTTAAAATGTAAGCCCAAATTCTTACCTTTTAAATTTTAGGTACCTACCTACAGTGGCGGCTCGTCAGGATAGGCCTCTGAGGGCGCGCCTCACCCTCAAAATGAAGGAACGAACGATCTTTTTTAATTAGCTTTTTACCTATTACAAGTGTACTTTTACTACAGTTCTACACAATCAATCAATCATACTATAAGCATAAATGGTAAATTAAAATCTACGCTCAACCCGCGTCAACCAACTATACCCAGATAGCAAAATGTAGTCACGATGCGCGCACAGTGAGTGCACGCGTGCGTCTTTAAACGGCACGCGTGCACGCAGATCACTACACAGATGCGCTTACATATGCGTCTCATATGCAGCGCACGTGTGCCGGCGCATTTATAGCGCACTTATGCCGACGCATTTCCAGCGCACATAAATGAGTCAAAAAAGTTGTATATTTCAAAAGGAAATGCATATATAACGACGGGTTTAATGCAAAATGACACAAGCGCCAAATTTTTCGATAAATTGTTAGAAGTACAGGTTGATAGAGAATTAAATTCTCTAGCTAAAGCTGTAACAATTTTTTTAAATTTTAGCGTTTGTGCCGTTTTGCCTTAAACCCGTTGATATATATATATATATATATATATATTCTGTTTTAGGTTTCCACGGGAGTTATATGTATTGGTGGTTTTCGGGGATCTGCTCCGTGTTGTCGGTTTTTGGTTCTTAAAATAACCGTATGTCTGACGACGTACCATGGTACATGAGATTGTACCGAAACGTCGCCAGACACACGGTTCTTCTAAGAACAAAAACCGACAACACGTAGCAGATCCCGGAAAACCACCAATACATTTAAATAGATATATATATATATATAGTACAGGGAAAAAGTAAATACAAATGCAAATTTTAATCAAAATCACTTTAAAAAGTAAATAAATATCACAAACGTAAAATAAAAAAATCTTAATGAAAATTAAAAAGCAGATGATCAATTAATCAAGTGATTTTAAAAATACTAAACTAAATAATCACAAAAGTAAAATCACAAAATCCTAAAGCAAGTAAAAATCTTAAAGTAAATAAAAATGCACAGGTTCATAATTTAAATTATTGTGAAATCCCAAGAAAAATAATCAATTGTGATGGAAAAATGCTTGTTATGATTTAATCTTTATATTTTTCACACTTACCTGAAATCCTTAATAACTTTTATCAATTTAAACCTAACTATAATAACACGTAGACACAATAAACAGCATAGAAAAATAAATACAATACAAACACAACCCGATTGCAGTTAATGCCTGTCATTTTAATTGAACTTACATAGTGAAACAATGCAAATTGCAATTTTACGTTATTTCATTATTATTGATTGTATCATTTTTGTAATTATAAGGTGAATAAAAACGAAATCTATTGTTTTATTGATAGAATCCGGCATCACTGCCGATAAGCACAGTGTAAGAGATCATTGATCACGTCGTGCGCTCATACTGCGCTCATCGCGTGGGCGCGCACGGCTATGCTACTCATATGCGTGTGATATCGACCAAACGTGTGCGTTCTCACGCCGTGCGACCTACGTGCGACGCACGATTGCTATCTGGGTAGCGTTGAGAGTCGACTAGATCGATCGATCGAACAGAGGCGAAATATTTATAGCCTGTGAAGCTAGTTTTAATTCAGATTAAATTATTTTAAACTGTTGTCTGATCTTTTATAGTTTTTGTCTCGATTAGTAAAATTTATTATTTGATTATTGTGGTGCACGGGGGTACATACGCTACACAGGTAGAATTAGCAGTTTTTATTAAGCAACAAGTCGTATTGAATTTCAATGAAGGTTAGGTTTTCAAAATACCGGTAAGTTTTCTTTAGTTAAATATTAATATCTTGGTACAAAACCTATCAGTGGCTATGCGGAAGTATTTATAAACAAAGCTTATTCTGTTGGCATTGTATTTTATTAGGCTGCGTGAAAACAATTGAAGTTTAGGGGGTGGGTATTCCGATTGCTCTGATATTTTATTTGTTTTATACCTACCTATGTATATTTTTATCCATTCATATAAATATATTTTTAGGTTCCAGATATATATTTTAAAGTTTTAAAAAACGTTTTGGAGTTTTGCAATTGGGGTTTAGATTGCTTTGATATTTTAATTGTTTTGTTTTTTTAGTTTTTTTTTTATTATTTAGTATAGGGCTATCGGCCCGAAGCGTCGCAGAATAATACCTCCTGGGTAAAGTGGAAATTTATTCGTATTTAGACAAAATTAACCTCATGTAGCGTCACCTCCTATACACCCACGAGCCGCCACTGCCTACCTAGGTACTACTACTAATTGATTAAATTTTTTTTATTTTTTGTTTGAAAAAATCGAAATTTTATTTATTTATTACATAAAAATACAAATGCAATATTGTGGTTATAAGTAATTTATTATGTAGTTTGAAGCACAAAAATAAATCAATTATTACCTAATTAAAAAGTTTGACACTTTCATTTTTGGTTTCATTTGTTAATCCCAAAAGTTGTGGTAGGTTGGACACGATTTGGGATCCCTTTTCTGGATTGTCTGTGCTAATGTTTTGGGTTACTTTAATTTGTTTGTTTGGTAAAATTGGGAAGTTGGAACTAAGCTCTGGAGCCGACCCATTTTGCGGAAGAAAAATTGAACCTAAATCAACAGGTAGAACGCCAGTTACTGAAACTCCACTTATGTTTGTCTGAATCGGAACAGGAATTTTCGATAAATCTATGAAGCTTCCATTATGATTCGGGTCAAAAAAGGACAAGTCTACTTGTTCATGCCTAAAAAAAAAAAATTTTGACACAGTACTCGACTGATTTTAAAATTATTTATAATATATGTCATCGAATCAGATATATATATATATATATATACAGGGTGTTTCACATTCGTGGTCCATTAGAAGTTTCTAGGGAACGGAAAAAGCTATCGATTTGAAATTTTAAAAGCTTATAAAATCCATTGAAGACTATTTTTCTAAAATATTTTGTACAAAATACCACTTCCGGTTTAACCGGAAGTGACATAAACTTTGTTATTTCAAAGGGAACACGTATTTACATTTTTAAATTCTACATAAAATTCTGAGTAAAATTACTATACCATGTCCTATACCTAAAGTGAATAGTTTTCGAGTTTTTTCGTTAAAATTAGACAAATGCGTGTTATTAGGTTTTGCGAATATAGGAATTCTATAACATTTTTTAACAAATTACCTGAGAAAAAACAGGGCAAATTAGGCTAACTTGAAAGGTTTTTGAACTTTTTAATTTTAAATGCAACACCCGGTATGTTTTTACATAATCAAATAGAAAATTAAAAAAACCTTTTGATTGATGTTTCCTAAACTTAAAGTTAATAATATCAGAGATATTTAACAATTTCTAAAATTTTAAATATTATTTTGTATCAAGAAACCTGTGACGGGTGAGTTGACGGTATCTATGGTTACCTCGTAACCTGTCATTGTTCAAAATTTTATGGCGTCAATTTTTCAGTTTGTTATTAACAATTAGTTGACTAACCTATTGTAAATGACCGATAGAATCTAATAAAAAATAAGTAATTGGTTTGAATTGGTTTGAAATGTGTTTTGGCGCTTTGAATCACCAATTCCAGTTGCATTCCTATTGGTAAGTTCCAATGAAGTCAGCGGCTTAAATTGGAATATACCAATTTATGCCTATGCTTGTCTCTATTGGCTAAATCCAATAGAAATGCATCTGGAATGAATTGGTAATTTATAGAGCCAAACCCATTCAAACCAATTTGAACCACTTTATTTTTTTAAATTTGGATTAAAAATACCAGTTGATTTTTCATTTAAAAATAATTAAGATCCCATAAGAATAACCGGGTAAAAACCAGAATTTATTTGTCACAGAGGAGACAAAAAAAATTATAACTGAGTAACTTTATTTTTTATTATTTTTTTGTGTTAACACAAAAAAGTAATAAAAAATAAATAAAATTACTCGGCTATGTTGATGGCATGGTCGAAGTCGATATTGTTTATGTCAATTTTTTTTATTTTGTCTGCTGTGACATTCTTACGCCATCGTCCCTAAACCTTACACATATAAACATTTTTTAAGGTATAAGTACACACCACTATAAGTACACAACTACCACTAAGCACAGAAACCCATAGATTATAAAAGAAACCGACTAATAACAAAACGACATTAAATAGCGTCCAAAGACTTGTTTGTTTCATTATGATGGGGTCTCAACCATTCGAACAAGGACTGCGTACGTTGGTTTTGTGCGGCTACACGAGAGCCCTCTTGCGATATTTTAAAGTATTGGGAATAACCAATTAGCAGATTCCTTTCTAGAATCTTACACTGGGAATGCCCAATTGAATTCAATTGTAAATGACCTATTGGTAGCTTTAACCAATCGAAACCACTAAAAAACAGTAGAATCCTAATCGGACTTTTCCATCATGGAAAATACCAGTAAAAACCAATTTCTCTTTTATATCGCTCCCAATTAAACCCAGTCCAATTCAGACCTATTGATACCAACCAATACTTCAATTGGATTCTATAAGGAATTAATCGGTCATTTACAACAGGGATATATCTCTTAAATTATTAACTTTAAGTATAGGGAATCGAAAGGTTTTGTAATTTACTATTTGATTATGTAAAAACCACAACAAAACCGGGTGTTACATTTAAAATAAAAAAGTTATTAACCTTTCAAGTTCGCCTAATTTGGCCTGGGTTTTCTCAGGTAATTTGTTAAAAAATGTTAAAGAATTGACATGGAATATTTTAGACAATGTTGTAAGACTCCAAAAATTCCACCGCCATATCCGCAAACCTAATACCAAAAAAGTTATAGGCTATTTTTGATTGACGCGCATATGCATATTTTTCAAATTTTAACGAACAAAATTAATAATTCGAAAATTATTCACTTTAGGTATAGGATATGGTATAGTAATTTTTCTCAGAATTTTATGTAGAATCTAAAAATACAAAAATATATGGGGTGTTCTGTTTAAAATAACAAAGTTGATGTCACTTCCGGTTAAACCAGGAGTGGCATTTTGTTTAAAATATTTAAAATAAATAGACTTAAATGGATTATAAACGCTTTTAAAATTTCAAATCGATATCTTTTTCCGTTCCCCAGAAACTTCTAATGGACCACGAATGTGAAACACCCTTTATATAGATGTATATTTAACAAGTTATTGCTTAATACTAATTTAAATAGTTATCTTTCTGATGAAGTTCAAGATAAATTTTCAGACTAAACAAATTAATTTTTTAAAAAAATTATCTGTTCTAATAATACAACGTGGCCAATCCATTTCAAATTATTTTGGCTACACGTCATTAGGGATACATGGCCGATTTTGGTTATACTACTATAGCATAACTAAAAAAAGAAGGAAAACAGTTTTGAGCTCGATTTTATTATGGTTAACGACCTTGTATTGATTAAATTTGAAAATACGAATTTTAGATACCTATGTATTGATTTTGAAAAACAAATTTTTGCACAACGATATATTCCCAATTTTGTATAGGTAAGTACTTACACATTATTTTTATTTTTTTACATTAATATTAAATTGGATTTTAAAATTTAATTTAAGGGAAAAGGTGTTTTATATATACAGGGTATCCAAAATGTGCTATCTCGGAAACGGTTATAGATGGAATAGGGCAGAGGGTATGAAAAGTTGCGTAATTACATGCCTTTTAACGTGGCTTGTAAAGATTCCAAAAAAATCAGCGGTTCTCAAAATATTAAAATAAAACGGAAGATTGGTTAAAACTTATTATCACTATAACTTTTTTAATATAGGAATTTTAAAAAACCCAAAGGTTTACATGAAAATATACACAATTACCTACATTTTGATCTAATTTGTGTATTTTTACTCTTACTATATTTTGAGATACGGCCACTATGTTTTGTTTTTCCTATGGCAGCCATATTGATTTTTGCATGAAAAATTGAAAATAATTATAAACAATTGGGTTTAAACGTATTTAAAAATTCTGTAACACGCCTATGTCGATCCTGTTGGAAGTATTTAAAATTGTTTAAGACACTTAGGCCCACACAGAACACGCTATCCAATGGATATCCAATGGCTATCCCAATGTCCATATAACATCCATGCCTTTTACGATATCCATTGGATATCCAATGGATATCCATACTAGATGTTCAAAAAAAAACAAAAACATTAAAAATATTTTTTTCTTTTTTAAAATAGCCCCTTCTAGGATAAATTTATGTAATGATTAATAAATATGATTTAATTCGTTATTAACCCAATTTCAACAAAGTATCTCTAATATATATCCAATGGATAACTAATGTATGTCCAAAGTATATCCACTGTACATCTAATGTATATCCACTGGATATCCAATGGATATCCATACTGGATGTTAAAAAAAAACAAAAACATTAAAAATATTTTTTTCTTTTTTAAAATAGCCCCTTATAGGATAAATTTATGTAATGATTAATAAATATGATTTAAATCGTTATTAACCCAATTTCAACAAAGTATCTCTAATATATATCCAATGGATAACTAATGTATGTCCAAAGTATATCCACTGTACATCTAATGTATATCTACTGGATATCCACTGGATATCCAATGGATATCCATACTGGATGTTCAAAAAAAACCAAAAACATTAAAAATATTTTTTTCTTTTTTAAAATAGCCCCTTATAGGATAAATTTATGTAATGATTAATAAATATGATTTAAATCGTTATTAACCCAATTTCAACAAAGTATCTCTAATATATATCCAATGGATAACTAATGTATGTCCAAAGTATATCCACTGTACATCTAATGTATATCCACTGGATATCCACTGGATATCCAATGGATATCCATACTGGATATCCATACTGGATGTTCAAAAAACAAAACAAAAACATTAAAAATATTTTTTTCTTTGTTAAAATAGCCCCTTATAGGATAAATTTATGTAATGATTAATAAATATGATTTAAATCGTTATTAACCCAATTTCAACAAAGTATCTCTAATATATATCCAATGGATAACTAATGTATGTCCAAAGTATATCCACTGTACATCTAATGTATATCCACTGGATATCCGGTGGATAACTGATATGGATATCTTGTATATATACTTGTATGTATACATGTGGGATTTTGTGATGGTTTAAACTAGCATATGTAAAAAAAACAACTTTACGGTAAATTGATTTTTTGCCAAGAGCTACGAAATTTTTAATTTTGAAATGTTCACTTTACCCAGATAATAATATTTATATATTAATAATATTATTTCTGTTAATAATATGACTATGACAGTCTGCAATACAATAAAAAATTACTTAAAAAAGTCCCGTTTGTTTATTATTGTATTTCATAGTACTACGCACGCGCTGAATTTGAGAATCTTCAGTGTTGCCGGTTATAAGCAAAATAACTAAACGAAATATATTTCCGTACTTTTTTAAGTTTTAATAAATAAATTAAATAAATTTAAAATAATTATTCACCACATTTATGTCAAATAGGTATACTAGGTATACTAATTAATTAAGTATTAAAGATTTAATAATATAACCGCCATTTTGATGAGCTTTCTGAAATTATTTAAACGTCTGACAACACTGCTCAGCAGTGACTGCTGCCGAACACAGAAGATAAAGAAGCGTCCTTTTTCTATGGTAGCGTCCGTTAAATATGATGCCATGATTGTTAGGTACATCCAAAGGGTTTTCATGTTTATTTGCTTCATTCCACAG